GTGCTGGCAGATTACGGGCCTCCCATTGCTGCTGCCAGGCCCGTAATCTGCCATGGGCCCCTGTACCGCCTCCTCATGCTGCTGCCAGGTCCAGAGTCTCTCATGGGTCCCTGTACGGCCTCCCATTGCTGCTGTCTCCATCGCCACACTCTGCCATGTGCCACTTTCAGGTCTCCTCACACTGCTGGTGTGTTCCATTTTTTGTCATAGGGTGCTGGCAGATTACGGGCCTCCCATTGCTGCTGCCAGGCCCGTAATCTGCCATGGCCCCCGTACCACCTCCTCATGCTGCTGCCAGGTCCAGAGTCTCTCATGGGTCCCTGTACGGCCTCCCATTGCTGCTGTCTCCATCGCCACACTCTGCCATGTGCCACTTTCAGGTCTCCTCACACTGCTGGTGTGTTCCATTTTTTGTCATAGGGTGCTGGCAGATTACGGGCCTCCCATTGCTGCTGCCAGGCCTGTAATCTGCCATGGGCCCCTGTACCGCCTCCTATGCTGCTGCCAGGTCCAGAGTGTGTCATGGGTCCCTGTACGGCCTCCCATTGCTGCTGTCTCCATCGCCACACTCTGCCATGTGCCACTTTCAGGTCTCCTCACACTGCTGGTGGGTTCCATTTTTGTCATAGGGTGCTGTATGGCCTCCCATTGCTGCTGCCTCCACCGCCGCACTGTGGCTCCACACTCTGGTTTTGGCCCTGTGACTGCCCAAATGAGTGAAGTGTGCGGTGATTCTAAGATCGACGGCACTCATCTGCATGTCATACTGACTGACAGTATTATTTCTCTTCCCCAGCAGACTCCAAGGGCATTTAAATTAAAGGTACAGTGTTCTGCACTAATATAAAGGCTCTCTGAAGCCTAGAAACACCCTTTTATAAGTTAAAATCGCAGCGAATATATTCGCATCGAATCGAATTTATTCCTCGAATTCGCCGAATTGAATTTTTGAATACTTCGCTCATCTCTAATGAGGACTTATGGTCACATACCTTGTAGAGATCCCAAGGAGTCCTTAAACTCATGAAGCTCTAGTATATAAATGGCAGCTTTCTGAAGTTCTGCTAGTGAATGCCCCCTGCTTTCTCCTGGGCCTCACTAGTCATCAGTAAAGTTGTGTATCACAAAGATGGCTCAGTTCTGAGGTATGATTGAAGTTATTTCGAATGACACTACAAACTATTTGACCCTACATGTAGGTACACTTACAGCTGTCTGCTGTGGTTTAGGGCACTTAAAATTAACACAATTTCAATTCCTATCTATGGATTGAAAAGTGAAAAAGACAACCAAAGAGCACTACACTGTCAATTTACCATAATCATCCCGTTATCTGCTTATGATGCAGATTTGTTTTTCAATGAAATAACATATAGCAGAGTACACTATAGAATTTCAGTGATCAAAGATCATGATCATCTTTAAAGCAAACATGTCATAAAAAAAAACTACTAGGGATTGGGAACAGTCAATTGTGAAAGGGGTGGTAGAAGTTGAGAGAATGTATATAGAAGACCCAGTTAATGATAATTTAGAGAGATGGAAGAAAATGCAACAGATGTATAGTACAATTTCCTTGGCAAGGGCTGAAAACAAACGTTTTTCTATGAAACAAAAATGGTATGAAGGTAAAAATACAGGGCGCATATTGGTCCTCCTAGCAAGGACTCAGGAGGGCACGGTTAATACGGTGACCTCAGTTGGACCGGGACTGGGAGGGTCACTATGTACCCAAATGAGATAGATGTCTTAAAAATTATCTCTTAGATATGTATATCTCTAAAATAGAGGAGGGGAACTAGGATATGGAAACATTTATTCAAGGTTTATAGATCCCAACCCTGTCAAATGGGGATAGAGATATGTTGGAAGCTTCCATTACCATAGAGGAATTGCAAAACTCAGTTTTAACTTCCACCAATCACAAAACTCCAGGCTCATATGGGTTACCAATAGAAATATATAAACATTATGGGGAAGTCTTACTTCCAGAACTCTTACAGGTGTTAAATGGAGCATTTGAGAGGGAAGTATTGCCAACATCTATGACGGAAGCCACAATAATGCTACATAAAGAGGGAAAGGAGCCCCTACAGCCCTCATCGTATAGACCAGGGGTAGGCAACCTGTGGCTCTCTATCTGTTGTAGAACTACATTTCCCATGAGGCATTGCAACGTTACAAAACTGACAGTGACAGCTATGACTTGCAGAGGCATGATGGAACTTGTAGTCCTGCAACAGCTAGAGAGCCGCAGGTTGCCTACCCCTGATATAGACCAATATCTTTGTTGTGTGCGGATGTTAAGTTGTTAGCAAAAGTGTTAGCCACTAGATTAGGAAAAATAGTACATACATTGGTTCATCTGGATAAATCTGGGTTTATCCCAGGGAGATCCACGGCATTGAATATTAGGAGTGGTATTCTTAAATCTGCAAATTCCAACAGAGGAGGAAGGTTCAAGAGCTATTCTCTCCCTAGATGCTGCTAAAGCATTTGATAGTGTGGAGTGGAGTTATTTGTGGCAGGTAATGTCAGCGTTTAAATTTGGTCTGGAGTTCATGAAGTGGGTGCGGTTGCTCTATAATACCCCCAAGGCAAGAGTGAGAATTAATAATGGGTTATCGGAGTATTTTTCACTGGCACAAGGGACAAGGCAGGGATGTAGAAAGCTTTAGGTACTTAGGTATAAAAGTAACAGCAAATCCTAAAACATATATTTTGAATAACTTCGTGCCCTTGTTAGGAAAATTTAAAGAGAAGTGTAAAACATGGTGCCAAATTCTTTTAATGGTGGGACGATTTGGTTTGATTAAAATGGTATGGCTACCCCACCTTTTATATATTTTGCATAATTCACCTGTATGGATTACAGGAAAGTGGTTCAGGAAAATAGATACTCTATTCAGGGAATTGGTGTGGAACGGGGGGGGGGGGGGGCAGGCTAGAATACATCTTTGGGTATTGCAGCTCCCTAAAGATAGATGAGGATTGGCAGTGCCACACCCTTGGAGTTATTTTTTGGCAGCACAAGTTTAGCATTTGGAAGGTTGTGGACTAGGTGGGGGAAACAGGGATCATAGTATACATATGTTGTTACTTTGTACACCCCACCTTACTTTAGTAGAGGTGTTGGAGGCGGAATCCTTAAAGACGGAAAGACAATCCCCAACAATTAAACTGATGCTGAAATTATGGCGAATAATACGAGCGCTATTTGGGTACATGGGGTTTATGGAATATACGCTGATAGAGAAAATAAAAACCTATCAGAGCTTGAAAAACTAGAGAACTTCAATTATTGGAAACAGGAGGGAATTGTGTATTTAGCACAGTTATACACACCTAGGGGAATGAAAACCTTTGAGGGATTGAGAGAGGAATTTGGGCTCTCCAATCAATGTTTCTATCAATTTCTACAGTTGAGGCATGCTTTCACAGCTCAGTTTAAGGTAAAGAAAATAGTGGAGTGATGCCCCTCCGTTAATAAATGCTCCATCTAACAAAGGGTTAATATCAAAGCTGTATACAAATATACAATTATTGGCCTTGGATAAGGATATAGAACTACCATGTAGAGTTAAATTGGAAGAAGATGTAGGTAAATTAACGGGATGAGCAATGGAAGCATGTTTTAAAATCGGTGGATTTAGTATCACTGTCCCCCACACAAAAGTTGACACAGATTTTCATTATTCATGAAACATACCTTACACCAAGGAAATTGTTTTTGTTTTGGAGGTGTCCAGATGCACATTGTCCCAGGTGTGGGGATTAGGTGGGAAATTTTTTCCAGATGATCTGGAGGTGTCCCAGATTATATATATATATTGAGAAAGGTGATTGAAACAAAAGGATGGGTGGTTGGTTTAACATTAGAGATGGAGCCCAAGTTGTGTATACTTGGGATTATGGGAAATTATGGAATGTCATATCTGGTGCAGCTGGAAGTGCAGAGATGTCTGTATTTGGCCAGAAAATTGATTACCCAGAGGTGGATATCCTCGGTACCCCCTAGCTGTGAAGACTGGTTAAAATTGGTGGATAGAACAATAATTAGGGAAAAATCAATATAAGAAAGGAGGGGTTGTGTAGGAAAGTATGAAGAAATATGGAACCCAGAAAGAAATATGGAGATCATGGAATGTATCCCCTAGTTTGGTGCTAAACTGTAGCAATAATTAATGAAGAGATATAATAATGTATTTTATGCATTGATGTCTGTGAGGGTGGGAGTGGGTGGGAAAGGGTTGGTTAAGAAAATGTAGATTTGCAATTTTCGATGTATTGTATAATCTTTTAATGAAAGAAATGATTAATAAAAATGATTGGATACAAAAAAAAAATGTCACGTGGTTTTTGGTTAACCACTTGCTTACCAGGCACTTATACCCCCTTATTTACCAGGCCAATTTTCAGCTTTCAGCGCTGCCGCACTTTGATTGACAATTGCGCGGTCATGCAACATTGTACCCATATGACATTTTGATCATTTTTTTCTCACAAATAGAGCTTTCTTTTGGTGGTATTTAATCGCCACTGGGCGCTTTACTTTTTGCGCTATAAATAAAAAAAAGTGCAAAAAATTTGAAAAAAAAGTTTCTTTGTTTCTATTATAAAATTTTTCAAACAGGTAATTTTTCTCCTTCACTGATGTGCGTTGATGAGGCAGCACTGATGGGCACTGATAGGCGGCACTGATGGGCACTGATAGGCAGCACTAAAGGGCACTGATAGGCAGTACTAATGAGGTGGCACATGGATAGGCCGGCACTGATAGGCAGCACTAATGAGGTGTCACGGATAGGCGGCACTAATATGCAGCACTGATAGGCGGCACTGATAGGTGACACTGATGATGGGTACTGATAGACGGCACTGACTGGCATCACTGCTGGGCACTGACTGGCGGCACTGACTGGCACAACCGCTGGGCACTGACTGGTGGCACTGACTGGCAGCACTGCTGGGCTGCACTGGTGGGTGGCACTGGTGGGCAGCACTGGTGGGTGGGCACAGGTGGGTGGCGCTGGTGGGCACAGGTGGGTGGGCACAGGTGGGTGATCTGCTGGGCACAGGTGGGTGATCTGCTGGGCACAGGTGGGCGGAACTTGTGGGTGGCACTGCTGGGCACCGATCATCAGGGCACTGATCATCAGTGCCCTGATGATCGGTGCCGATCCTCGCTCTGACAACTGCCGGTTCTCGGCAGTACTTTCCTCACGATCTGACAGCGTGAGGAAAGTGCAGCCGAGAACCGGCACTTGCATTTCCCTGTGATCAGCGTGTCATTGGACACCGCTGATCACGTGGTAAAAGGCCGCTGTGATTGGCCTTTTACCACATCACGTGATCAGCTGTGTCCGTAGGACACAGCGATCACGGAGATCGCCGGGTGCGCGCCCCCTGGGGCGCGCAGGAGAGCGCGTTCTGGGAGGACGTCATATGACGCCCACCCAGAACTGGCCGGCCACAGTGCAGCCGTCATTCGGCTATCTGCGGTCGGCAACTAGTTAAAAACAAACATTAGAAACTGAAAGTCGGCATTCTGAGGTAAACAGAGATACTTGAATAAATTGCCTCCTTGTACTTGAAAGACCTTTTCATTTCTGGTCCACTCTTTCAGTGCAGTATGAACTTCAACTGAGTCTCAGAGCTTTGTTCTAGACCCCCACCCCCTTATCTGCCATGTGACAAACCAATAATAATGTTCTTATTGAGCATCAATGAGCCAAATTCATATACAGTCATGGCCAAAAATATTGGCGCCCTTACATTTCTGTCAGATAATGCACCACTGTTCCCAGAACATTGTTGCAATTACAAATGTTTAGGCATTCTCATATTTATTTCTTTTGTTTGTATTGGTATGACACAAAAAAGTAGAGAAACAAAAAAAGCTAAATCTGACACCATGCAAAACCCCAAAAATGAACTGGACAAAATTATCGGTACCCTCAATTTAATATTTGGTAGCACACCCCTTCGAAAAATAACTGAAATCAATCACTTCCTATAGCCATCAATTCATTTTCTTACATTACGCTAATGGAATTTTGTACCACTCTTCTTTTGCCAACTGCTTCAGGTCTCTCAGATTGGAAGGGTTCCTTTTCCTAACTGATGATCTGAGATCTCTCCACAGGTTTTCTATGGGATTGAGATCTGGACTCATTGCTGTCCAGTTCAGTACTCTCCAGATCTTTGTCCTAAACCATTTCTGGGTGCTTTTTGACGTGTGCTTTGGGTCATTGTCCTGCTGTAAGACCCATGACCTCTGATGGAAACCCAATTTTCTGACACTGGGCCTTACATTGCACCCCAGAATTCTTTGGTAGTCTTCAGATTTCATAATGCCATGCACACTGTCAAGACATCCAGTGCCTGAAGCAGCAAAGCAACCCCAAAACATCAGTGGACCACCACCATGTTTGACTGTAGGGACTGTATTATTTTCTTTAAAGGCCTCATTACTTTTTCTGAAAATAGTAGAATGATGGGCTTTACAAAAAAACTGTAATTTTCTTTCATCTGTCCACAGCACATTCTCCCAAAAGGATTTTGGCTTTCTCAGGTAATCTGGCTTTTTTTATGTTTATGTGTCAGCAGTGGGGTCCTCCTGGGTCTCCTACCATAGCATCCCTTCTCATTCAGATGGCAATGTATAGTGCAAGCTGACACAGTTGTACTCTGTGCCTGAAGTTCAGCTTAAATTTGTCTTGAAGTTGATAGAGGTTTTTTATCCACCATTGCAATCTTTGATCAAGTTTTTCTTTTGCCCATGTCCAGGGAGATTAGCTACAGTGCCATGGACTGTAAACCTCTTGACAATGTTATGCACAGTGGACACGGAAACATTAAGATCTGTTAACTGATATAGGTGAGTTTAATTACAAATTACAGGAGCATCAAAAATATGGAATGCAATTATTTCTTACAATTTTGAGAAGGTGCTAATAATTTTGTCCAGTTAATTTTTGGGGTTTTGCGTGGAATGTGTCAGATTTGGCTTTTTATCTCTACAGTTTTTTGCGTCATACCAATACAACCAAAAGAAATAAACATGAGAATACCTAAACATTTGTAAGTGCAACAATTTGCGGAGTGAAGTGGTGCATTATCTGACAAAAATGCAGGGGTGTCAATATTTTTGGTCAAGACTGTATATTGTTACTTTATTCACGTTACTTTATTCACTCCATTTGACAGCACTCTTGCTTGGCCCAGTACAGTCAGAGCCAATTCACATCTCAGAGATGTGTGCTGTAACATTCCTCAAAAATAATAATTTACAATCAGGGGAATTAATTCAGAAGTCACAAAGACCCCTTGTTGGTTTCCCACTCACTCAAAAATGTAATAGTGTGGCTCTTGGGTCCAGCTGCATATAATACAGTAATAGTTAACAGGAAGAAAAAACTGTTGGTTTCAGAGACCATTAATGAGAGCCCTGGAGCTTAAACCCGACCGAATTGAAATAAAGATTTTGTATTTTTGTGTAATTATGATTTGCTATTTATTAGTTAGGGTTTAGGCTCTGGGGCTCTCATTAATGGTCTCTGAAACCAACAGTTTTTTTCCTGTTGGCTGCATCATTCCACTCAAAACAAATGGGCTAAAATGCACCACAATGTAAAAAAAATAGGTAAAGCTGCATGTTTACACAACCAACGTAATGCACAATACACTGTATGGTGTGCCTTTAAAGTGCATTGTAATGTGTGTTACCATTCATTTATAAAATAAACTTTATAAAACTTTATATTAGCTTTATAATAACTTTATAAAACTTTGTAAACTCCCTTACATGAGGGAGTCCTCAGCTCTGTGTAAGCAACTTGGAGCTTACACAGAACTAAACAGAGCATCAGGGAAGCAAAAAAAAAATTTAAATATATATGTAGCACATAGCTAGTGTAAGATAAATTTATTTTTGGCTCATTGTAGCGAGTGAGCCTGAATTACTGTGGGTTCCATGTGAGGTCAGGCTGGGTGACTCAGCAGGTTGGGACTCTATCACTTCCAACTAGTTTTGGAGGTCCATGGAAGCTTTCAGAAGGCAATGGGCAGAAGGGTGGAGACCTCAATTTGCATATTCATGGGAGTCTGACCAATCCCAGGCTAAGAGGCCCTGGTAGTGTGATAGACTAGCCCATAAATATGAGAGAACCATGCCAGCAGGGGAGTCAGGTGGAAGATAGATTGCTGAAAGGTGCTGTGGCGTAGCCTGGGAGGGAGCCCCAGAGGAGAGGGGTTCTGCTTCCAGGCCTGAGGCTGGAATCTGAATAGACCTTGCAGGAGGGAGCTTCACTGTCCTACAATCCACCGGGGTTGGACAACCAGGAACAATTGGAGAGGAACCAGCCCAGCTGGAAGGCCTGAAAGCAGTTCTATCCACAGATGCTGGACAAGGATAGCATGAGTACCTCTACAGTCTGCTAGATGCAAGTTCTGGTAAGTCTTCAGGGGACAGTTCATAGCTTACCCAAGCCCTTGTCCTGGAATTGGATACTGTAGCCAGGTGTGCTGGTATTTTGTGCACTAAGGGGACCAAGAGCTCCTACATGTTGACACATTGCTAAAAAATGCACTCAGGGGACACCAAGCTCCTAAACTGGGATTATTCTATTAAGGACTGTGATGGTTCTGGCTGGAACGCAGTCAAGTATTTGTGTTTTTTTTTTTCTTTTTTAATGTTGCTAGAGTAGGGAAACATCCTCATTCTGCTGTTTCTGCAATCAAATTGGGCAGCCCATTACCGCTTTCCCCCATCCAATTTGTTAACCCTTTAGTAAAACAACAAAAACCAAGCTCATGGATTGCTTACTGACTGTGGATGAAAGTGTGGAAAATGTGTGTTGTCTGGCTTCGCAGAGCTTAGGAGGACCAAAAAGCTCAGCGGCCCTCAAGAGGGTTACAGGGGGAAGGAGGCTTAAGGCTTGCTTTCCTCTCCATGAGCGAAGCACACGCTTATTTTAAGGTCTTTAAGAAAGTTGTTTCATGATTGTTAAATGGTTTATAATATTTTATTTGTTGATCTCTTCAAAATAGCAATTTCAAGCTGATGTTAAGAAATGCTCATGATGATTTTACGGTTTTTGAAATTTTATTTGTCCAGTATTGCCTAAAGTGGTTTTAAAGGCTGAAGGTTCTTACCTTTATGCATTCTGTGCATGAAGGTAAAAACCTTCTGTGTGCAGCGACTCCCCCAGCTCGCTCAATACGTACCTGAGCCTCATCGCAAACCAGCGATGTGAATGACAGCCTCGGCTCTGCCTCCTCATTGGCTGAGACAGCAAGCGGGAGCTATTGGCTCCCACTTCTGTCAATCGCAGCCAGTCAGCCAATGAAGAGAGAGAGGGGGCAGTGCCAAGCCACGGCTCCAAGTGTGAATGGACACATGGAGCAGTGGGAACCCCCATAGCAAGCTGCTTGTTATGGGGGCATCCAACAGAAAGGAGGAGCCAGGAGAGCCTGTGGGGGACCTGCAAAGAGTAGGATCCAGTCTGCTCTGTGCAAAACCACTGCACACAGTAGTTAAGTATAGACATGTTTATTATTTTACAAAAAACAACTTAAACTTTAGGATTGCTTTAATGATTTAAATAATTCAAAGCAAATTCTGCAGGTATTTTGCAAGTAAACCACAATAATATCAGCAGTGGTGAGACCAAAACTAGTGGGACAGTCCATGTTTATACTATTAAGCAGGAATGAGGAAGACCGACAGCTCTATCAGTCATATCTGACTTATGTATGGAAGACTTTAGGGACAGACCTATGCCTAAAATATTATTGATCATAAACAGAGTTGGCTACCCCAGAGGCCAATTACTTGCACCTCAATTTGTCATGTGACTGTAGTATCAGTTCATTATTCATAAAACTACATAAAAACAGTATGGTTTTGAAGGCATCTTTTGGTGTTTTGCAGTAAAATATTCTAGTAAAATATGTAGAAAAAAAAGAACTGTTCCAGGCTGTTTTATACTGGTAAAGGTGGTAATAATAATCATCTTTAACTGTTTTAAAGAGACTTGCTCATTTAAAATTGCCAACTTATCTAAACCGGTAGGGATTTAAGTTAGGCATCTGTTATAGGGGACACTGTTTACTATTCAACTACTGTCATTGAGTTTTTTTTTTTTTTAAGTCCGCAAACGTGCAACTATAACGAAAAAACCGTAAGTGTTCACAAAAAAAGTGCAAGTGCAAAACACCACACGAAAAGTGCA